GGAGGAATTGTTTTAGTTCTTTGGAAACTGCTACAAAACATAGGAGCAAGTGGGAGTATGGTTGATGCAAGTGGGATTGTTGATTTGAGCTAGTAAACAATCTCCATGTCCTTCAGCCAGATCAGAGACGGATACCATAAGGCCACTCAGAATGAACATTCTTAAGGTCTTGTGATGTATTTATTAGTATGGCCAACTGAAGCACGCATTCTTGTGTAGCCAGAATGCTGGCCTTTGTGCTGACTCTCGCCACAAAGGCAGTCAATGGAATCTTCCAAGGTGTGCTTTACTCAAAGAGCCAGCAGTGTGAGAAGGTAGATCTACAAAACAAAAGTAAAACAAAAAACCCTGCTCAGCTCCTCATCCCTCCAGGGGAAGCTCTATAGGAGGAGGCAGGCAAAGGGGAAAGACTAGTCAGTCATTCCAGAGCTGTCTTGCCCTCTGGTCAGATGGCCAGCCACGTTTCTAAGTAATGCCTGGGCTTGTCTTGTTACCATCTCCCACATTTTTTTTCTCATTCTGTGGATTTCTGGGCTCAGGCACAAGGACAAACACCAAGTCTAGTTAGCTTTTGCTGATAACATATGGCAGGACAAGGCAGGGCAGGGGTTCCTCCACTTTGGGTTCTTGCTAAGGCCACTTTAGTCTGAAGTTGAATTTGATCTCCTTGATTGAGAATCCTGTGGAAATTTACCCAACTCTATTCTAGGAACCTGAGGTCAAGATGCCCCAGCTAGTTTGTCTTACCTTCAGTTAAACTTTCTGCTTGTGCAGACCTCTCCCTGCAGCTGCTGAGTGAGATACCAGGATGCAGATTTTGCTTTTAAAAGCTCCTTGCTCTAAATGCTTAGGGCTGCACTTATGTCCTAAATACCTGAGTGTGGCCCAGCTGGCAACCATGTGAAACACTTTAGGAGCATTATAGTCAATTCTAGTGATACCAGGGCAATGCTACTGCTTCTGCCCACTGGTTGGGGTGACTGGCATGCTACACTAGAGTACGAGGAAAGACTTCCCATTGGCTATGAACTGTGTCTGTGTCATCTCTGGGGTCATCCTTTGTAACAGTCAACTTGTATTCCTCCAGGGGCTTCTGTCCTAGGAGAAGGGAGTTAAGTCACAATAAATGGTTAACACTGTATATAATCTGAAGTGCCATGTGCCCTTACAATATAGAATATAAATTGTCTCACATTTGACCAAATCTGAAGGTTAGGCCTTAGATGCACAGTGGTGGCACAATGTGTGTCTTATTGTGAGGTTCACACGCCTTCAATTTAGTAATACAAGCCCCACAACTCAAAACTCCAACTGAACAAGCAACTGATGCATCACCACATAATAATAAGCTAGTTTCAGGCCTTGACTATAGATTAACGTTCTACCATGCTTTATGAGATAGGGGTCTCTCATTGTCCTAGGGCTCACCGCTTACGTTGTTTGGCTGGCTGCTTGCTTATCTCCAGTCCTGGTAGTGTTTCATCTCTTAGCTTTCCAAAGAGACCGGAGTTTCGCTGTGTATCAACCCTAGCTGTCCTAGAACTAGCTGTGTGAACCAGGCTGGCCTGAAACTCATAGATCCATCTGCCTCTTCGTCCTGAGTACTGGGATTAAAGGTGTGTGCCACCATTACCTGGACTTTTTAATGTACATTTGGTTTAAGCTTGCATGTATGCCTGGAATTACATACAGTTGTGAGCTGTCATGTGGGCGCTTGGAATTGAACTCTGATCCTTTGTAAGAGCAGCTGCTGGTGCTCTTAGCTGCTCCCAGAATTCCTTTTTTTGCCCTTGGGCATGAGGGCACCATAGCAGGAGGATTTTTTTTTTCCTTTGCAGTTATTCCCTTTAGGTTCACAGGTGTTGTAAGTTGTGTGTCCCCCATCTCCCTACTCCTGACTTTTACCCTCAAAGTTGCAGGTTTTCCTTGATCTTTCTGGTTCCTAAGAGGAAAAGCAAGACAGGAAATGACCTGTTTCCTGCAGACCAGAGCCTTCCTGTGGCCCTTCATCCCAAAGCATAAAATTAAAAAACCAGTATTGCCTCCCCCATCCTTTTAAGACAAAATTTCTAGAGTAGCTTCTGCATCTAGGTGAGTTTAAAGACTATTTCCTCTGCTTTGGGATGCTCACCCAACAACTTCCTAGGGTTTCCAGGGACTGCTCCAGTGGGTGGTGGCCTCCATTTGTGGGTCCCATGGTATCCAATGTTAGGCAGCCACTGCCTTCTCCACCAGGATCCAGTGGCTATCATCTGGTTTAGATCAAGCTTACCCTCCCTAAAGCATGGAGGGCAGGGTTCTTATGCAAGGTCCCCAGAGCATCCTTCAGAGCACAGCGGCACTGGCCAGGCATTTTCCACTCTGTACTTCAGGCTCCCAGGGTCAGGGCTCAGGGGGACATACTTCTGCCTTTTAATGGAAAGCATTAAGTCTTTTGTCATTTTTCCCTCAGAGCCATAGGGGGACAGGTGAGTACATGAAGACACAAGGGGCAAGAGAAGGCGGTGCCACTGTGACGATTATCCCCCTAGTGAATGGGACACTCCTATTTTGCCAGGCTGAAAATTTCAGCCTCATCGACTGCCTCACCAAGTTAGTGGGCGGTCAGAATGTGAGTCCCTCTCTTGCAATCTGCTAGTTCTTACACCTGCCCAGTATCTACCTGACAGCTCCTTACTGGAACCTGCCCTTTCTCCTCTGCCTCTCTGGAACAAGCTGTTGGAGCACAGACAGAGCCTTGAGAGTGGACTCATTTAAACTCTACTAGTAGCTCCATTCAAAATGACCAACAGTACCATGTGGACACCCTCACTGGGATATGAACACTGGAAATGCTTGGGTTCTGGGTAGAATTCAGACCTTCTCATACCCATCCAGTTTACCTAGGCGTGGGTAAGATCTGACCAAGACAACATAATAGGCAGCAGTGGATAGCAACATAGACACACCAGCAAAACCCAGAACCTTCCCACACGGTCTTAGCTAGGTGGGAGGGCCAGATATAAGCAAAATTAGTCTGAGCACATATTGTTATACCTCTCAATTCAGTGGCACACATCTCCATGATATGGCAAGTATTTATTTTCCTCTAACTTGAACTTGAGGTGTCTCTCTGGAGCTCTGTCCTGATGGAGCTTCAGAATTTGTGGCTGTGGAAGATACTCCTGACTCCTGACTGATTTGGTTCCACTTTATTTCTACCAAGATAACCACTACCTACAAAAGCCTTTACCCAACGCGACACAGAAGAAGTACAAAAACAGAGATACATGCATGAAGTCTCAGAATTAATTTGTACTGCTTTAAATTTAAGAGAACAGAGAGCAGCCACAGGCTAAGGGCACTGGCCTGTATAATACACATTCAGCTGCTCAACCAGTGGGCAGGGAAAAAGACTAACTGAAACAACACCCAAATAGCAAAAACAACTAGGCAGGCTTCAGTGCCAAAGCTCCATGGGGTCACTCGTACTGTAACTCAGAGGTCCTTCTTGTGGCTTATCTGCATAGTGGATGCCAGCTATGGAAGTCTTCTGATGAGCCAAGAGTTTGTGAGCTGTCCCATAGAGAAGCAGACTTCAGGGTGCTGTACAAATCTAGATGCATAACACTGGAAACCTGGAAGGAGACAGAAGTAGAAAATGTCCCCACCATTACTAGTCCAGTTTGTATTCAAATGAAACCTACAACAACATGCAATTGTAATAATCATTATAGTTCATTAGCTAATACCTCAACACCAACTGTAAATGCAAGACTATGGTGTTAGTTATCGTTCTATAACTAGAACAAGTAACTCATATAATCAACCTAAAAAGAGAAAAACGTTCATTTGGCTCACAGTTTCTGTAGTTCCAATCCACTGGTGGCTTGTTCCTGTTGATTTGGGACTATGGTGAGGCAGCACAGCATGAAAGGGAGTGTTAAACTCATGGGCAAAAGAAGAGAACAGGGGTATCACCATCTACTTTCAAGTTTACATTAATGTTCCAGTCCCACTCCTACCCTTCCCTTGGTTCTCAATGTCTCCCAATAGGGCTGATGTAACTGAAGGGGACCTTGAACTCCTGATCTTCCCTCTTCTTTCCCAAATTCTGAGATTACAGGCATGTGCCTCCATGGCCAACAGATTCTTTACAATTACCATTCTTTGTGTAATTTTTTAAAGTTTCCAATACAGATTTTAAAATGTGGCTTCTGTGAATCAGAGCCTATAAGATATCTTTTAGAAACCATGAGGATGTCAATTTTTGGGGGAAAAAACAAGTACTTAAAATTGAAGTCTCTACATTAAAGTGAGCCTACAAACAACCTTATTTTTTAATCCCAGTAACAAGATCATAGGAAAACAGATAGCAAGCAAACATTCAACCAGTAAAAGTGACTTGTTGAAGAAACAATAAGCACTCTAGAAACATCTTAATTTAACCCGAACTTTTAAGGTACGTTAAGATATCTTACTACACGAAAGGTTTATTATGGTTTTAGTCATACAACCCAACTGGAGGCAGTTTCTTCCTATAATATATTAATTTCTACCTTTTAGAACTGAATAATACCTCTTCAGGAGTGATGTCAGTTACGAAACAGGTAACTTCAAAATATGCTGACAGCAATCAAAAGTACTACCCAAAAAAGGTGGGTTTTGTGAGTTTACTCTTCAATTTAACGAAGACTTGCCTTGAACCGCTGGTATGTTGTTTTCCAAAAGGACGAACACTGGAAGCCATCGCAAACAGCAGAATCTCAAACAACTTGAAAGAACAGGCTCAACCAAAGAGAAAACTGTCAACAACTTATCTCAAAGATGAGATGCAACATTCAACTTCACAGTTCTTGGAATCCCAAGGAATTTTAAAAGTCAGTATTTTGTATCCCATTCTTCCCTATTAGGGTACAGGTATGTCAGAAACAGTACAAATTCTAATGATTCCATATTTTCAAGAACTCGTCAGTAAGATGCAGTTTTGCCTTCTTACTTTCTGTCCTTTCCTACTACGTTTAGCAAGCCACGTTCAGAGGAGGAAGCACGATACTGTAATAAAGGGCCAGTAGACCGTCCTGCAGCCCAGCCTCCCCTACTGCACACTGCACTTCTTGTAGACTTTGAGAGTTCTTTAGCAACTGACCACCACACATGATATCTACCCGATAAGCTGCAGCAAGCTCCATTTTTCTTTTGAGAAACTTTTCTATGTGTCCAATGGTTGCATTTCCTGAGACTCGCACAAACTTCATTTTCAGTGGCTTAAAATGTTCAATGTCTGCATTAGTGTCCATAGACTCCAGTACTAAAGACATATCAGGTTCCACAAATTCCATAATGTTTCCTTCGCTTGGACCAGTAGCAGGTTTTGAAGTTTCTGGACAATTTTCTTTGGAGAATTCATGCCTTTGCTTTTTTTCTTTTTCCTCTAGGCCTGCCACTAATTTGTACACTATGCTTTGTAAATGTGGATCCAACCTCAGGTTATTATGAGGTTTGGCCTCGTGCACCACAATGTTGCACTTTGGACATTTGTTGCTATGTTCAAAATGTTTTATGATGCAGCTTTTACAGAAGGAGTGAAGACATTCTGTAATAGTTGCTGCATCTATTAAGTAACCTTTGCAAATATAACAAGAGATGTACGGTGTCAGCTGCGAGAGAGGAACAAGGTGCTCTTCCTGGTTGGCCCTCTCCCACCCCAGGTGAAGAAGCCTGGATCCTGAGCGGCCCAGAGTCCCTGTCTTGCTCTGGGCAGACCTGCCCTGCCTGGCAGCTGAGTGGGCTGTGGCAATTACCTGAGGTGAGGTCTGGAGTGGGGGTGACAAGGCCCTTGCTCTCTCTACTCTGGCGTCTTCCAGGCTACCCTTTGGGACCACTAGGTCACTTTCCATGGTTGACTGAGCAAACCACAAACCCGTGGAGGAGAGACAAACCAGGAAGCGAAACCACACGGTCAGGGGAGACCAAGGCGAAACGAGGTGAGGTGACCGAGATGCGAGGCTAGACCGTTGGGCCAGATGAGACCTCTAGGCGAAGACAGAGCTGAGTAGCTATTGGCGGGCAAAGATGTCAGGCATTAAGACCAGTAGCGAAGCAGAGAGGAACAGGGTGGCTAACACACAAGCCGCTTGGCAAAGGAAGGAGAAGAAGCCAAGCACGGGGTAGGCGAGGCAATGTGGGGAACCAATGAGGAAGGTCTTCAAGGTTACTTGGGAAAATCTTGTCTAAGCCAATCACACGTTACAATGTTCAGGATCAACATCCGCCTTTCCAAAGGCTTCCTGTTTCACAAAGCGGAGGTGTATGTGTGTGCGGGGTAGGGGTGGTTCTGGAGGAGTGGGGGTGGGAGGTGGAGCTGTGGCCTGGATGTATTGTATGAGAGAAGAATTAAATAAATCCACTAAAATCACATTCCAGCCTAAGATTCTGTTTGTCTCAATTTATGCACACAACACTGAAATGGATCTCATGTGATGTTAGGAATAATAATGATTTCCAGGCTGGAGAGATGGCTTAGTGCCTAAGAGCGCTGGCTGCTCTTCCAGAGGACCCGGGGACCCAGGTTCAATTCCCAGCACCCACAGGACAGCTCACAACTATAACTCCAGTTTCAGGACCTTCCCACAAATATGGATGCAGGCAAAACACCAATGTACATAAAAAAAAAACCTCTTGCCGGGCAATTGTGACATTTTAATATCAGCACCTGGGAGGCAGAGGAAGATGGATCTCTGTGAATTCGAGTCCAGCCTGGTCACAAAGTGAGTTCCAGGAGGGCCAGACCTATTACACAGAAAGATCTTGTCTTGAACTCCCCATCCCAAATAACTCTAAATAAATAAACCTAATAAATGAATGAATGAATGAAGAAAGAAAGGAAGAAAGAAAGATTTCTGATTGAGCACCAAATATGTGCTCCTCTGGAAAACCATATTAATCCAAGATTACTTTTGTTAGGAAGTATGCTGTTCCTGTTTTGAAACTTGTCAATTTATTTGGAAGAATGATATATTGGACCACCTACATAAGCCTTATTTATTTATTTATTTATTTATTTATTTATTTATTTATTTATTTATTTGAGATACTGTTTTATTCTGCAGCCCAGGCTGGCCTGGTACTCATGATGTGCTCCAAACTGGCCTTGAACTTGAGGTTCTCCTGCTTCACTCTCGCATGCTCTAGGATTGACAGATATGTACTACCATACACAACCTTGTTTCTCTAATCAGAACTCTTTTCACTTATTTTGGCATTTACTTTTGCTACAGCAGCAACATGTCTATGAAATACTTTGTCTCAGTGTGTTGGTTCCAGTTTTTGACATCTTCATTGTGTTCCTGTTTTATTTTGAGACAGAGTCTGCAAATGTAGCCCTGGCTGGCCTAGAACTACTAGGCTGTCTTCTATGTCCAGAGTGGTGGGGATTATACACATGTACCACCACACTCCGGTGTTTGTGTTCTCTGATGGCAGAAGTTTGGTTTTGTTTTAAAAAGGGACAGGGCTTAATGTAGCAATGCTGTAGTTAAAATTGACCTTAAATTCCTAGTCTCTGGCTTCTCAGAAATTTTAGTTTTGTTCTGTCTTGATATATCTAAGAAATCAGTGCCAAGTCTAATGTTGAGAAGTTCCTGTAGTATTTACTTGTTAGCATTTTTGGTTTTAAGTGGTCTATTTTGATTTTGGATGCATTTTTTATTTCTTGTATTTGCGATGTGTGTGTGCTTCCCTGTTTCTGTGCATGTGTATGTACAGGCTAGACTCTAGCTACTATAGATTGCTATCAGATGTTTTCCTCAACCACATTCCACCTTATTTTTGGGGACCAGGTCCATCAGTGAAGCTGGAGCTCACAGGTCCAATGACACTGGTTGGTCAGGGCCTCTGGGATCTCTACCTGTCTCTGTTTCCCCAGCAATGTTATTACAGATAGATGCTTGTGATCCCTCTTTTATGTGGATGCTGGAAATCTGCATTCAGGTCCTTTACCTACCAAGCCATCTCCCTGGCCCTTGAGTTCATTATTTTAAATGATGGAAGATAAGGACCCTACCTCACAGTTTTCTATATGTGCATGCAGCTTAGCAAAAAACCTTTGTTTTTGAGAGGAGTATTCTTTTCTCATTAACTTGTCTTGGAACTTTAATTTTAAAAAATTACTGGACAACACACATTAGGGTTAATTTCTGGGATGTTTATGCTACCTATACTAACTCCTTTCAGTGGGAGATATTTTTTTTTCCTGTCCATTGATTCCTTTTTGTTTTTCCTGATAATATTTTTACATCATGCACCCTAATCACACTCACTTCTCAGTCTTCCCAGATGTGCCCCCACTGTTATGATAGTCTCCCCCCCTCAAAAAAAAAAAAAGAAGAAAAGAAAACAAAAGCACAAGTCCAATTTGTGTTGCCTATATACTCATTGGAGCATGGTCAAACTCCTGTAGCCGACCCCTTAAAGAAAACTGAGTTTAGGGGTGGAGAGCTGGCTGGCTCAGCAGTTAAGAGCACTGGTTGCTCTTCCAGAGGACCCAGGTTCAATTCCCAGCACCCACATGGCAGATCACAACTGTCTCTAACTCCAGTTCCAGGGATCTGACTCCTTCACAGTAATGCACATAAAATGAATTTAAGTAAATTATTTTGAAAAAAAGAAAACTGAGTTCAGGTCTGGCAGTGGTGGCACACGCCTTTAGTCTCAGTCCTCAGGAGGCAGAGGCAGGTGGATCTCTGTGAGTTCAAGGCCAGCCTGGTCTACAGAGTGAGTTCCAGCACATACTCCAAAGCTACAGGCAAACTCTGTCTCAAAGACAAAAACAAAGGGCTGGGGAGATAGCTCAGTGGTTAAGAGCACTGACTGCTCTTCCAGAGGATCTGGGTTCAATTCCCAGCACCCACACGGTGGCTCACAACTGTCTGTAACTCCAGTTCCAGGGGATCTGTCACTTTCACACCAATGAACATAAAATGTACTTAAATAAATTATAAAAACTCAAAGACAAAAACAAAACAAAAAAAAAAAAAAAAAGGAACAGGAACAAAAAACAAAAGAGAAAGAAGAAAACTAGTTCTTTGCCACCCACATCCTGGTCATAAGCCTTCAATTGTGTTGCACTTCACTTTAGCATCTTTATCATACCTTTAAAGAGTTCTCTTCTATGTTGTTTAGGCAGTGGCGGTAGGGTGAGAGTAGAGTTTTTCACAGAAGCCTCTTTCTCAGCTGTGATTCTGCAGTCATCAATATCACTGCAAAAGTAGCTTTCTGGCTTTTTGCAATCAGTGAGAGCACAGATTACGGACTTGCACATGGTTTCTGGTGAACAGCATGAACCATGAACATCCACATGGTCTCCTGGCATCAGCACATGCCAGAGACTTCAGCATGGTCTTCAGTGGCAGTACAGACCACAGATATCAACACAGTCCTCTGCCAGAGCATGGGCCACAGCCATCATCATAGCCCTGGGTGGCAGCAAGGGCCAAAACTTCCACATGGTCTCCAGGGCAACATAGATAAAGGACACTAATATGGTCCCTGGTAGCAGCCTATAGACATCAAAATGACCTCAGATGTCAGCGTAGGCCACCCACATCAACATGGACACCAGCAACATCATGCCCCAAGGATATCAATATGGCTTCATGAGGCTGCACAGACCATGGCACTTGGTGGTAACATTTGGCCCAGATATCAATACAGCCGCTGGCCACAGCAGGACCACAGACACAAACATGGCCCTTGCTAGCAGCATGGTCCATGGATCCCAACATGGCCTTCTACTGCAATACAGGCCACTCATGTCAGCATGGATTCTGGCAGCAACCCAGACCACAGACACTAATAAGGCCTTCTGTAGCACCACAGACTACAGACATTCTCCTGGTCTCCAGTGGGAGCAAGGGCCTTGGAAATCTACACGGCCAGTGGCAGTCCAGACCACAGTCATCCATATGAACCTCCGGCTTCAACATGCCCTGGGGTATCAGGCAGTGGATACCAACACAGCCTCCAGGGGCAGCATGGACCATAGAGGTCTTTCAAGGAGGTCCAACCTAGAAAATGAACCATTCTTCATCTCAGATATCCTGTCATTGCTTAGAACCAGGGTGATGATGCATGCGGCTGGGCAGAGTGTTCTGGCCCTACTCAGCAAGGACATGTTCCCAGTCACCCTCCTCATGTCTCTACTTCTGCCTCTCTCCACCTCTCACTTACCACTCCAGGATGAACTTGGACTGGAGATCCTCCTGCATCAGGCCCCCAATACCAGGATTGCCGGCATTCCACTATGGTGAGGTGTAACTGGGTTTTTAGAAAGGTCTCAAGTGCTGGTTGTACTTCTTCATCCAGGATCTTCATCCAGGAACTCTGGGAAGCCCCGGATGTGCATCTTGGTGTATTTGGTGTTGCCTGTGCTTTGCTAATGTGTCACTTCTTGCTCCTTTCTTCCCTGGTGGCAGCCTTGCCTGTGATGAGCTGGTGGCGAAAGCTTTCATGTCTACTTCCTTGTGGAGGCGGGCCCCTTTAATGGGGGCAGGGAATCTGTTGTGCTAAGGCCAGCACCATTGGGGAGCTCTGGCTCCTGCTCTGGTACTGTGGGTGCCTGCAGTGTTTCCTAAGAACCCCTGGGGTCTGGCTCGCCTCCCCGAATTGTGCTCTTGCAAGTAGGCACCAAATTGTGCCTCTGCACCTAGGCAGCATGATGGGAGCCTTGAGGCACAGGGCGATGTCCCGCCCTGCCCTCAAGCCTGCCGACCTTCTTGCCTTTCTTTTTTCTTTTCCTCTTTATTCTGGGCAGGTATTTGGTAAATGTCTTCATTATGCCTGTTACTGGCTCTGCCACCGGGCCAGAGTGCTAACCTATGTCTAGAATTTTTTTTTTCCG